ATAAAAAAAAAAATTTTGAATTTACTTACTTGTAGCCGGAGTTAGAGGTGGTCGGATACTTATGACCGCTACTGTAAAATAAAAAAATGAGTAATTTGTATCATTATCATCAAAAATCAAAAAGAACTGTTCATATTCTATTTATTACAATTCCTATGATATTACAAAACCAATTATTAGATAACAATTTATTAGATATTAATTATTGAAAAAATAATTTATTAGATAGCAAAATAATAATTACATAAAATGATATATTAGTTAAGCAAAGTAAATCATGTGATATAGTGTAGTAGAGATAGATATTTATTAGACAGATATGGTTAGAAAGCAAATGATATAATTAAATAAAATAAATAATGATATAATTAGTTAAATGATATAATTAGCCAAATACTTATAATTAACTATATTTAGGATACAAGAAGACAGAATATGAAAAAAACCAGAAAACAGAAACAAAAATCAAAAAGAAAAACAAAAAAACAGAAACAGAAAACAGAAACACAGATAAAAATATAACTAAAATCTGATAGGAAAATTAAAATAGTTAGTTTATTATTAAAATAATTAGTTTATTATTATGTGATATTTTAATATATAAACAGAAAGAATTTAAGGCAAAATAGAAGATCAGCAGTAGATCAATAATAAAGCAGTTGATGAATACATAAAAAAAAAATCCAAAATCCAAAATCCAATTTTTTTAATTTTATTATTTTTAAAATCTTTTACTTTGTATTGAACATTGTATATAATGAATTATATAAACTTTCATATATATAACATTAATTTATAATATTTCTTAAATTTTGTAAATAATATATAAAAGTCATTTTTTGTTAACTAGATCATTCTCTTTATGTGAAAGTATAAATTTTTTCAGGTATAATATTCTTTAAAAATATTGAAAGCTTAGTTTATATAAGCAATATATTATATGAATAGGATTGATATTCTGAACTATCATTACGAAATATTTTTTAATGTATGACTGTTTCTGCAGCAATAAGTATAAATAATAAAGAAAGTAATAAAATTAAATTGTAAGATGAAATGGAAATTAAAAGTGACAATAAACTCAAAAAAAGTTATAATAATAATAAAGAAGTCTATAATAGCTATTTTAAAGAATACAAAGATAATTATAGTAAAAGTGATGATAATTATAAAGATGATGATAATAATCATGATAAAGATAACAATAATTACAATGATAAGAATATTTATTATAATAATGATGCTGATGATGATTATATAAACGAAGATGAAATAGAAAAAGATTATGATTAAAAAAAGGGTGATAATATTGTTAATGATAAAGAAAATGTAATTAAATTTATTCATTTGCTTACTTCTTTAAAATAAAATCAGATACTAGGAATGTAGAGTTACTGATAATTTAATCAGTTTAGTTACATTCTTACAAACTAAATTAAGCTAAATTACTCCCATTTCTATTTAGATTTTATTGTTAATATAATATTTTTAATAAAATCTTTTTATTTATAATAAATACGAAAATAAATAGTTGATTTATCAATAAATAATAAACATATTCTAAATATAAATAGAGATTTTGCATCTTACTTTAAAAATTCAACTTCTATATTATTATTTTATTAAATAAAGAAATATAATATATGTAAGTTTAATTTTTATTATAATTGTTTATATTTGTGATGAATTAAAAGTTATATATTATATAATGAACATATTTATAATTTACTTTAAAATAAATGATTCATATTAATATATAGTAATAAATGTATATAATGACTTAGTAGAAATATTATAACACAAAATATTTAAAATTAAAGATATTATAAAGAATATAAGAAAATTCTGATAATGAAGAAATCAGTTATCTATAATATTAATAAGGATACGCTCTATTAAAATAAATCCAAAAAAGACACTATCTACATCTTAAATAATAAAGCCTTATTACTATTTATTAATTTATGATATTATTCAAAATATATTAAATAATCTGTTACTATATAACAAGTTATATTTTAGACTAGAATTAAAAGCTGAAGAAAAAAGAAATATTGGCATAAAAACCTTTGAGTTAAATCTTCATTATTTAGCCAAGATAAAATAATTATTAATGAAGGTATTTTTAGTTTATTGCTATTAAAACGAATATTACATGAAATTTATTTCTTTTATATACTTAGAAATTTATAATAAATTTATTATATATAAAAAAAAACAGTAATCATAAATAAGATTAATAGTATCTTTTAATGATAATCTTTATATAAAAATATAATAAATATATATTTATAATGAATTACTAAATCATTTTCACTCTAGTACTCAATCAATTATATGAATCATAATTGTAGTTACTAGATCAATACTTGAAGAAGGGTAGTATTATCACAAATATTTATAAAATAATTAGAAAGGTAAACGTTATAATTATTTGTAATTCAACAATTATTATTAAAATTTTTTTATTAAACAAATATTATATAAAAATAATGATTATTAAAATTATAAGATGTAATACTAGATTATATGTATTTATATAAATATTCTGTCTTAAATCTACTATCATAATATAGCAATCTTCAAATTTTAAAGATATTTATTGATATCTATTATGATGACTTTGATACCTATTAAAATGTTTACTATTCATTAAGTGAAGTTTATATTCAACTAGAAAATATACTATTGATATGAGAAAATAATTTCATAATTACTTCATTTTAAGCTTTATTCCTTTTGATAATTATTTTCAAGATTTTATTCAGCCTTTTATTAAGATATAAAATAGTTAGAAAAAGGAATTTTAATAAATGTCTAAGAAGAGATTATTAGACATAGATAAATAACCACAGATTTACCTCAAAAATAATCTAATAGATGTAAAAATGATATGATATAATAAGGACATATCTAGTTGCTAAAAAGAATACATATATATTACATTAGATATTACTAGTATTTTTTATTATTATCACATTATTAACACTCAATTCGAAAATATATTCATAGTCTCAATCTTAAATCAACAAAGTAAGATTATAAAAAATATGGTTTGTGAAACAGTTTATCAATTTTTGATCAACTTCAATAAAAATATCATCTGCAGTCTACTGCAGAATATTTACCATACAATAGTTGATAAAATATTAAAACTACCATAGAATACTAACTAAACTACCCTCCTGTGTAAACTACCTCCTAGGGTTTTGGGCCAAAATTTTGTAAGAAACCCAGGTATTTTACATGATGTTTTTTTGAACTGAGTAATAGATGATTTTATTGATTTTTATTTATTAATTTATAAATGAATTTTTATTATAATTATTGTATTAGAATTATAAAAGAACATTATAAGCTAAATAAATTTTTTTTTTATTATTAAAATTCTAATAAGACGGCAAAAATTTAAAATCTATTTTTTTTTTTTAAATTATTATTACAGTCAGTTCTTTAAGAGACTTATAAGTGATAAGTGAAGCAATATTTATAGATGGTAAGCAGAAGGTTTAATTTGATAATTAGATTTAGAAGAGTGTCAGTAAATTAACAGTTTATTTAATAACTATAACAATGAAGTACTGCCTCAGTTGGTACTCTGTACTATACAATTATGTTAAGGGAATTAACTAAACTATTTAATAAATCTATCTATCTGATATACTGTTAAGCTGAAAGAAAATGTCTTCTATTTATAAAAAATGAAATACATAAAGTTATCGAAGATATAAAAGAAATAAATATAATATATGAAATAAATATAATAAAATAAATTTATAATATAAATAAAATAAAATAAATAAATAAGACATATTATATAAAAGAAATATAGATTGTAAATAACATAGAAGACTTATAAGACATATATAATTTTCTAAGGATCGATGTCATCCTTTGGATCATTATCATCTATGTCTTCTCTTATGTAACATCACTCCTTTCAAGATTTTGCGTCTTCGCATAAATTTTAACAATCTTATTTATTAATTTATTATATTCAGCCATTGATAGTCCAACTATTAATTTAAGGGTAATTTTTTACTTCATGCAATCTGTATTGGTCCAAAAAATTCAAAAAGATAATACATCCGTATAGATATACGGTAGTAATATTTAGATAACTTTTTGATATACACTGAGTGAACTGTTAGGTCTTCTATTTCCTTTAAAAATTTTTTAAGATAAAAAGCATTTGTTAATATTAAGACATGATTGTTCATTTGCTTTGCTCTTTGCAACATTCGATTTGCAAGAGAAAACTTCATTTCTGATGTCAAAGTTTCATTGTAAAGTAAAAGATACATCTCAAGTTCTTAGGGTATAATAAGTTATAGATCAGCATACACTACTTGGAAGTTCTGAAAAAATGTTTCAGTATAAGTAGAAGATACTTCCAATTTTTTTATTCTATTAATTCTATCAATTTTAGGCTAGACTTCCTTCTATTTAAATACTTTTCAATTAGATTGTTCTGGCATTTTCCATTAATTTCTTTAACTTTTAATCAGCACAATAGGTTGAAATAGATCACATTGATGATATTACTTCAATCTTTCACTATTAATTGATTTTAGAATTTTCTTATCCAACTTTCTTAATTTATACACTCTATTCTCAAGATCAACATGAATATAGTATTGTAACAGGATTGGATTGACGGACATGACGCAGAAGGTTGCAGATCTAAATGTCAGACATATTTGATATATTTGATATACTGGACATATTTGATATATTAGACATATTTGATATAATTGATATATTTGATATCCT